GAATATTATTTGATAGTACCAGATAAAGTTGTACATTTTATGCTTTATTTTTTACTATATTGTTATAATTTAATAGCAAATCAAACTAAAGAACAAATACCATTTATTAACAATAAAATGCTTAATTTTGTGTTTTTACCTGTTATAACTAATCTGTTTTAACTTCAAGATTGTAAAATAAAAAATTATTATTATTTACATCATTTCTCTCACGAGACCACTTCCTGCCAGCGTACACTGCCAGTGTACACCTCACATAATCGTTACTATATGGAATTTTTCAAAAATTCTTTTGCAATATCTTAGTTTGACCAATAGAAATTGATATTTAATAGAAAAAAATATATTTCATGCATTACTAAAGTTTTGGGGGTTATTGGGTTAATAGGATGAATACGGAGTAGAAAAGTCAATAAATGCAAGTCATAAATAGAAAATGTATCAATTTTTAATGTGATCATAAGAAATGTGTACATCATCTTTCTATGTTAAACATGAAGCTTTGATAATGTTCAATTTCTAAGAACGAAAATAATAATAATAATAAGTTGAAAAAACAAAGAAAATATGGGAACCTAGGCTTGGAGGTTAAGCGTCTATGGAAATTATCCACAATAACAATACAACCCATTGTTATATCAACCGAAAAGATAATAACTACTGATCTCACAGATACAATCAAGGCCCTTAACAATCCTAGGAACATCCTCGTTGCCTGTCAGACGGCGGTACTGCTGCAGACCTGCCACATCACCAGAAAATTCCTCAGTGGAAACTATTAAAGGGACTACGATGAATTTTGTTTCTCTTTAACGAAACTCGACCCTGGCATTGCCAAAGAATGACTACTCCACCGTTTCTGACATAATAATAATAATAAGTAGAATAGTAATAAGTAGAATAATAATAACAATAATTAATAAGGCTTGACTTCGAGTCCTAAGATTAATGAAGAATGCAGTATTTTACGTGGATACGCAGCCAGAGCTGTGACCTACATATTTCATCACATCCAGGGCAAGCATAACCAATGAAAATACATAATGCATATCGGATATTTAAATTCTGATTACCATATTATTACATCAGAAAAGCTGAATGTTTTCCACCTCCGATGCCTAAGGCGGATCTTTTAAATAAGGTGGCAAGATAAGATAACCAATGACGAAGTGCTACAAAGAGCAGGGTGCCAGGACATCCGCTCCGTTATCAGCAGCAGACGCTTTGGCTGGATTGGCCACGTTCGTAGAATGCCAGTAGGTCGACTTCCACAGGACATCCTGTATGGCGATCTAATAGAAGGCAGGAGAGCCGCTGGTCGCCCACTTTTAGTTTTTGCGGATGTATGCAAAAGCGATATGAAGCTCTTCAAAATCGACACTGGCAACTGGGAAGAGGTGGCACTGGACAGATCCTCATGGAGATGGAGCATAAAGGAAGGGTCAAAGATTGCAGATGTCATACACAACAGAAGCAGAAAGAAGGGTGAAAATGCAACGGCGCCTGGTGATTATATATGCCCAACCTTCGATCGCAGCTGTGTATCAAGGATTGGCTTCTTTAGTCAGACAAGAAGTTGCAAAAGGAAAAGATCGTCTCTCGAGACGTAAAATGCCACAGAGACATCAGGGAAGCAAAAAGTCACTCAGGCTTTTATACACGTTGGTGATCCCCGCACTTTTGGGGAGTTATAAAACGTGTAAAACCACTGACAAACGCCATCAATAAAAATTACAAACATTGAACACAATTTAGACTCACAATTTAAGTAGCACTAAATGTCTACATTAATATTAAACCAACACTTAAACAACAATACAAACAACACTTAAAATGACCAAAAAAAATAAAGGCACTTTTCTTTTTCCATATGCTGGGACAAATTTAAACAATTGCTCCTTCCTCTCTACAGCCATTATAGCAAGGAACGGGTTGTCTAAATAGTCAGGGAAACCAATGACATGGAAGGCTCTAACTCTTTAATTAACATGCATGACTAACTGGACAAGCGGTAAAGTGTTGGCTGTAATTGTCTTATTTTTGTGAGAGAATGTCTGCGACTTATAAGAAAGATAAGAAAACGTGGAATTAAAAACTAAAACATAAAGATCTAAGTGAAAACAAAATGTAAGAAATGTAACATTTGAAAAGACATTCATTCTTAAATACATATTCATTGTTAAATATATATTCCTTCCTAAAGACATATTCATTCCTTAAGACATATTCATTCCTAATTAAAAATTACAGCGGAGGCTGAGCGTAAAGCGTTTTTAACTTCTAAACATGATGTTCCTGGTTCGAATCCTGGCGAAGACTGGGATTCATAAGTTCGGGATCCTTGGCGCTTCTGAGTCTATCCAGCCTTGATGCTCGATGTGCTGGTAAAATGGCATCTTTGTCTAACCGTGGACCACAGAAACAGATGACCTCTACATCGACTGCCCTATAGATTGCAAGGTCTGAAACGGAACTTTAGTAAAAATTACAGACGTTGCTTCAGAAAATAGAAGAAAAGAACCGGCTATAATTTGTAAAAGGAAATCTCTATATGTATGTCTGACATGTAGTAATTAGTTGTTTCTTTTCGTTTTATTATTCTATATAAACATTCTGTATTTTTAAGTTGTCTACATTTATTTTTCTCGTCAGGAATACACTACAATTTACTGTTTACATTTTAGAAAACCTTCTTTACTTTAAAACAAAATAGATTAAGCAAAAAAAAAAAAAAAAAATCTTAGGTGAACATTTTTTTTTAATACTTTCGATAATGTGTCCTAAATATGCGTGGCCGTGATATTGTAATTAACCTACTGTATAGCTTGTAATAGTGCTAACAAACTGAACAAACATTAGAAGAAATTGTCTAGACTAGAATACTGGATCTAGATAGAGTTATATTACTAATAATGTGTATTAGTAAATTTGAGAAATGTAATATTAAAAATACATATTAATTCCTATTAATAAATTACATAATAATATTAATAAATTGCATTATAAAAAATGCATACGTATTTGTACATAATACGGTAAGCTAAATGGAGAAATAATTTGTTACTTTGCCTGAAATCTTCATGGATTCTACAGAATGTCAGATTTTGTGTTTTGACGATAACAAATCCGAGGTTTGAATTCCAGTTTTTCTTCTCCCAGTTGAGTAGCCAGCCAAGGCTAACGAGCCCCACCTGCCCGAAGGTTATTGGTTTAGGCACCAGTTACTACCCCATTTTCCTGATAAACAGTTCTGCTGGACCCTATATCTGAGCCACACGTGAAGAACAGGTTTGAACTGGTTGTCACAGGCTGAGATACATGCCATTGTGCCTATATAGGTAGTGGAGTGCTTATTTCCTGAGATGGTAATTTTTCGTAACTAATTCACTACCAAAGCAAAGCAAAAAATTAAATTGATACAGAAAAAAAAAAACAATTACAGCAATAAAATAAAAATAAAAAATGATACAAAAATAGTAATAATACTTGCAATAATTGTATTATTATTTTTATTACTATGGTTATTATTATTATGGTTATTATCATTATGGTTATTATTAATATTATTATTATCAATATAAACATATTTACTACCATTAAAAGGGAAAAAAAACATTCAAATCTACCATTAAGCAAATATTATTTAATGAGAAGTATATACGATACACAGATATGTAGAATGTTTCGCTAAATACAGCCTATAACCAATATGCAGATATATGGAATGTTTCGCTGAATAAAAGGCTATAACCGATTTTTATCCCAGGTGTTTTTCAAATTACTAATGATAAACTGAAGTTACCACATCAGTTATTCTGCTAATATTTGAAAAAAATTGAACCATTAATATTAAATTATGTAGAATAAAGGCTACAGGGACCTTCGGATTACACTATTTATAAATTTCTTAATATAAAATCGCCTTCCTTTAAAATATTTTGAAAGGGTTATAAATAGATGATTCGATTGTGCATACTATCGAAAGACAGAAAGTTAGTGGATCTCCAACTGTTATAAGTGGCGCCCACAATAAACAAAAATAAAAGATAATACAAAACATCGCACTAGTCTATCAAATTGAGTTCTTAGACAGGTGGCCACATTACGTCCGAAAGATTGGCGTACCTTGCTAAAACAACATGTTGACACTGTCTAAACCAGAGGTTCTCCATCTTTTAAGCTCGGCGACCCCTTTTAACAACCCTCATTCATCCGCGACCCCCACCCATCCACATTTGCACAGCAATAGAAGAATTGACAAAAAACAATCCATTTATCGATGGTCCCTGGAAAATCGTCAATCGACCCCCAAGGGAGTAGCGACCCGCAGGTTGAGAAACCCTGGTCTAAACTCTAAAGCAACGATATGGGAAGCGTTGTCGAGAGGCAAGTGCGTTTGGCTTGGCTACCTAGAAGGGGGCTCGAGGTTCGACACCCGACTCGGGCAGAGTTGTGTTTACTGAGCGCCTAAAGGCAGCACGGAATACCAACTCCTAAATACCCCCTCCCCCCCCCCCCCCCACACACAATTGGCACAAATGAGATAGGACCAAAGCGCTCTGAGCATGCTATAAGCATGAAAGTAGCGCTATATAAAAAAAAACAACTATAAAACAAAAAAACAAAAAAACAAAAATTAATATTCTCAAACTCTTGCAATAACATATTTTATCACAACCCTGAGACCATAAGTGAAAAAATGCATTACTTGGATGAGGTTGATGAGATTTTATGAGTTTTTTTAAAGTATCAACAGCTAATCTCCACAAGCATAAAATTCTAGTTGAGTTCCTTACGTGATCGACACAGATCTATATTTATATACTAGTGACTTTTTAAGAAAATAAAGTATTGGAACTTCAGGTTTCGGTTATAATTCGCTCTATTATAATAATTTTATTACATGAACTCTAACAAGTCGTTTTTTTTTAATCACTCGTAGGATTGGCGTTTTCCATAATAAATGTCACCCAAAAATGAAAATTTCGTCCTTTTTTTCAGGAGATTTAAATATTTTCAATAGATTTCCAGGAATTTTTTTTGTATACTCTGCAATTTCAGGATATTCAGTTATAATGGCTTAATACTTAACAGCAACTGGACAGATCCTCATGGAGAGAGAGCATAAAGGAAGGGTCAAAGATTGCAGATGTCATACACAACAGAAGCAGAAAGAAGGGTGAAAATGCAACGGCGCCTGGTGATTATATATGCCCAACCTGCGATTGCAGCTGTGTATCAAGGATTGGCCTCTTTAGTCACACAAGAAGTTGCAAAGGGAAAAGATCGTCTCTCGAGACGTAAAATGCCACAGACTTACAGCAAGAATTAGCTCGGGGATTTAAAAGTGCGGGGCCTACTGCGACCGCATAGAATGCAATGACCTAAGGCCGGCCCTGCTTTATGGAAAAAAAAGTTTTTTTTTTATTTCGCTTGTTTATATAAAATCAGAAACTGTGAACTGCTTGTATGTGTAGCAATGGCACTACAAGTGTATTATATGAAATACTACTTATTGTAGTGGTTTTAAATTATATTCGACTTACTTATGCCTGAATAAAAGTACTTTACTTATGATAACTCCAATGAGAAAAGTACTGTTTAGTCATTTTTATACATAAAGAAGTGCGAAATATGAAATGAAGATACATTTGCGACTTAGTCATCAGATATGATGGCAGTCACTATTAACAATTACAAACTGATGCAATAGTTTCTTTATTGACACATAAATGTTCTATGAAGCTGAAACAAATACGTCTGCGAAATAAAAGCCTAGAAGAAGAAGAAAAAAAATAGTTACGAATACAATGATAGGTGTAACCAATATAGATATCTGTTACCTAGATGTTATTTTGCGAAACTTTATCTAACTAAACATCGTTCTCTGTTTCCGGTGATCTTACTTGGCATGAATATCACAGTTCGTCCTGTTTCTTGGAATTCACAATAATGTTATCAGCTGATAAAGATAATCCTGAAAAACATAATTCATACTAAAAATAGAACAAAAAAAACATTAGAATAATGTATATTTAGATTTTAAAAAAAGTAAAGTAAAGTTCCCTTTCAGACCTTGCAATCTATAGAGCAGTCGATGTAAAGGTCATCTGTTTCTGTGGCCCATGGTTAACGAGGGTGTCATGTGGCCAGCACAACGACCAACCGCCTTTACCTTTTTCCCAACTAATGTCAGGTACCCATAAGAGCTGGGTGGACTCAAGAGGCGCCGGAAGATTTCGTGGTGTTACGTTAACCCTTTAGACGCGTTTGGTAGTTCAGCCTTTAAACACGAGAATAGTAATTCCATTTTGAATGCACTTGTAAAAAAAAGCTCAGCACTCTAAGGGTTAAACGTGAATATGAGTGCTGAAAAGACACACGGAAACAATGGGCATATGGTAAACATTTTATTCTAATACGATGTTTAACGTTCTTTTTAAAATGAATATTACCAACGTATAGAACACTGTACATGAGGCGCGGCGGCTGAGTAGTAAAGCGCTTGGCTTCCGAACCGGGAACCGGGGTTCGAATCCTGGTGAAGACTGGGATTTTTTATTTCGGGATCTTCGGGCGCCTCTGAGTCCACCCAGCTCTGATGGGTACCTGACATTAGTTTCCCAGTTCCCATGACTTTGAAAGTTGAATAGAGGAATTATATATATATAAAATGCTAGAAAGCACAGTCCTATTTCGCATTACCTATATATATGCATTTGGCTCCGTAAAGTATTTGTTGCCATGTGGGGTAACGGGGGCATACACTCCTAAAAATACTTCCAATGACTTATTGCAACTAGTCCAACTCATGACTTTCATGTGTGGCTTAGATAATCAGTCCGGCGGAACTGTCATCAGTTATTGAAGAATAAGGGGGCAAAGGAGAGTAACTGGCACCTAAGCCAGGACATGTAGGGTTGAGATGGGTACGATAGCCTCAGCTGGAGAAAGAATCCTCTCAGTCCAACCTGCCTTGCGACTATATCCAAACATGGGAAACGCTTTGGGAGTCAACACAGAGGTAGCTTGCAGCACAGAATGCCGACTCTGGGCACCAAATGCGACGCGCTGATCCAAAACTGTGTCGGGTTTCTGAAATTTCGTTGGAAACATCTAATGAGTGGTGGGCGAGAGGCTGTTAAGACGATACGTTCCAACCATAGCAGTCAAACATTGTATCTTATGTTAATGAGATGAGCCATAGTACCACTAAGGGATGTAGCTACGTATTTTCCATCGTTTGAGGGCCTTGGGGGCTTGACCACTTTGATGACCCCTGCATATTGCATAATATTTAATTTTTTTTAATGTAAAAAAATACTCATTTGGGGGCCCCCCTAAAGTAGAGGGATTTTCAAATTCTCCCCCCTCCTCACCTACCCTAGCTACGCCACTGATACTACAGTCACTCAGTCACTAAAGGAATCGCAACATTTTAAGCTATATTGAAATCTTTTTTCGTACTCACCTGGTTGTTCCAAGAGAGATGAAGAAGCAGCACCACATCTACTATACACCATTTCTGTGGTTATTTTTTTCTTTTTTCAGAAAATAAAAAGGAAGAAAAGTTAAAAAGAAAAATAATTAGAGGATTTTCTTTAAAGATAATACCCCATTTAAACAACTTACAGAGCGATTATTTCTCTTAATGACACATGAATGTTAGATTTATTAAAAAATTGAGAATTACAGAAATAATAACATACAAATATTCACATTTGACTAGAGTAACACCTTTAGTAAAATCACTAAATTTAGAAAGCCTTCAGGACAGAAGACTCAAAAGTAAAGTAGCAATTATACATAAAACACTGAACCATAATCTTCAAATACAAAAACAAAATTTAATAAAATACTGTGAAAGACACAAAGATAAAGTCACATTCCTCGTCCCACATGCTAGGACAAATTTGTACAAATACTCCTTCTTCCCTAGTGCTATTTGAGCATGGAATGAGCTAGCCAGGAAAACCAGTGACTTGGCAGAATTTAAGTCATTGGTTAAATGTATGACTCATATAATATAATTATCTTCTTTTTTTTTTTGAAGTAACGTCTGTATTATATAAGATAAGATAAGATAAGACCAGGTACCTATATATATATCATGCAGCCTGGCCAATCATAGTGTGTTTACCGAAGTGCGCGATTAAAGGGATATAATGTACGTCAGGACGTCTAAATTTGCAGATATAAGAAACTAATTTATGTAAAAATGCTTTTGAAACACAAATTAGAAGGTCAATTTTATTAAATGAATGAGATAAATGGACTATATCTTGTAGTTTATTGTGTCATAGTAAACAACTCTCTTTACAATGTGTAGTTCTTAAATTAGATTTAGATCCTTTCGGTCTTGTCTCATGTAAACATTGCTATACGACCTAGATCCTTGAAATAGAAATAGTTTCATAAAATGTTTGAGGGTCTTAAGTTTGTTTTAGGGCTACTACACATACGTTACTGTTCTAGTTAGTACCCACGGAACATTTCTGCCAAGTTTTATCAAAATATCTATGTGGCACATACATACATACATACATACATACATACATACATACATACATACATATAGAAATACATACAGAAATACATACACACAGAAATACATACATACAGAAATACATACATAGATGTGAATTCGATATAATGAATCAAGATTGAGTGGACAAAGAGTCCTCTAAATCGGTGGTCAGCAGATCCCTAGGTTTTCGTTTTTATGGGTCCGCAGAATTATTGATTTTGTATACAATGAAAATAACTTTAAAATTCGCTAAAAGCTAGTTAATTCGATCGGATAATTTTAATAATAATCAACTGGCTCCTCACTACTGAATTGTATGTCTTTTAAGAATAAGAATTGTTCTATGACTACCTTAAGTAGATTTGAAGATATTCTTCACTTGGCTATTCCCGACTAGGTATTGAACCATAATTGCGTAGACAAACTCTGATCCCAATCACAGATGAATCCATACTAATGCAGACGCATTTTGTTAAACTATCCACAAAGGAGGAACCAAATCCAATATTTAAGCAAGAATACCAAAACTCCTGGTTACAAAAACAGATTCCAATTTTATAGCCTGCATTATGCGTCACTGTACATAAATTGTTGACTGCTTTCCCATCTTCGTATTGGTACAACGCGAATTCTTTCCCTCAGAGCAGGGGTTCTCAACCTGTGGGTCACGACCCCCCTTGGGGGTCGATTGACGATTTGCCAGGGGTCACCTAAGACCATCGAAAATATGGATTGTTTTTGTCTATTCTTCTTTTGCTGTGTGTGTGGAGAGGGGGCGGGTCGCGGCCGAGTGGGGGATTCCTAAAAGGGGTCGCCGAGCTTAAAAGATTGAGAACCGCTGAATCAGAGTCAACATCATCACAACAAAAAAGAAAAAAAAATCGACAGGTGATTTGTTCCACTGGAGATTTGCGGACGCTACTTACAAGAATGGGCGGAACATTAAAACACTCTTAAATTCTCATCAACCTCATTCAAGTAATTATTTTCTAATTTTATTTTAAACAAAATTAATTCTAATAAACATTTAATTTTGTTTTTGCATGTATAAATGTAACTTTTTCACTTAAGGGATCATAGGCAAATTTTAAGTCTATATTAATAATGATTGTTAATATGAGAGAAAATAATTACCTTCCCAATAGAATCCAGCTTCCGCGAGCTCTAAAGCGTTCAAGGAATATTCTCTTGTGCACATCTCAATGGTTGCTATTCTTTGTTGAAGATCAGCGTAATATTCATTTTTTATTTTGATCAAAGAATTTTCTCTTTGTTTACATACTGTTTCTGTATCATTAATTACATTTTTTCTAAACATGGTTGAAGCTGTTGAATGTTCATCTACCGTAACAGCAGCCAATTTTGTTTCTACATCAGATGATTGAATTGCGACCGCTGCACCACAAAATGTTACGGAACATGATTGCGGGCTTGAAGTTTTACTACATGACATGGGAGCAGCTGTAGCAGTCGCCCTTGACGAATCTGCCACTGTACCTCCCGAGGCTGTTGTGTCTGAGCTTAAAGTCGTAGATGTAGGTGCAATGAAAGGCGATTCTGGAAATGCTGCCTCTGTGTTGTTTATTGTGGGGCCAGTATGGCTTGCACTAGCGTGTTCACTTGAATGTTCCTGGTTATTTGTGACTTGATTATTTGCTAAGCCGGTTACTGAGTAGAAGATGCTGTTGTAGGTTGAGTCTTGTAGACAAGCCGACACCAATAGACAACCAGGTGAATAATGTTTGTGATCGATGATAATGGTATGTCCAACTTCTTGAGCGGTTCTGGAGAAATTGCAAGCTGGACAGCTAACTTCACTAACTTCTTGATCGAAAACCAATCCATTTTGTGCCAAGAGCACACAAGAGACAGCGTGATGTACAGGCCAGCCCTTGAAAGTCGACAAACGATTTTTATAATGTGAATAATTATAATCTATTGCTAGTT